CATGGCTCTCTGCTTACATGTCCCCCGTTTCTAAAGCCTTGACCATCTGCAGTGCCCATCCCAGGAGTTTAATTCTAGGGGGACAGACAGAGCCACTGGGGGGAGAGGGGGGGATGCAGTCTGGATCTCAATGGACATGAGCTTGGATCTCTGGAGAGATGGCTGGCAAAACATTGACTCACCTGGCCCTGCAGTATGTTGGTACACACACACACACACACACACACACACACACACCTATGTGGACAGACAGACAGGCAGCTGCTGGCTTGATGGGGAGGCTGATGGAGATGGTACACGGATGGATAAGCACACACACGCGAGATGATGGAAAAATAACTGAAACACATATTTACACAAAAAACGGTAAGTCATCAATATGCAAACTAACTAATTATATGCCTGAGTGACATATCCAACACGCCCGTCCATCCACCCCCACGCACTCGCCCTTACACACCCCCACACACACACAAACACAATATGCAGAAATGTCAGCTTCAATATAATTTACTATCCAGTAGGCCACAAACTAGACAGAAAATTGAAAACCTATTCACAATCCAAATCAATGGGATATCAGTGTGTCATTCATTATGTCCATACAGCGCATAAAACTTCATTAGCTCAGGCGACATGCTAATAGATTTTCTGTGAAAATGAAGTATCGTGGAGGAGGCCGACGTGTCCAGTGTTTCAGTGATTTCGAACCGGGAGGAATTGCGTCTTCGAGAGAGTGAAGGGAAAGGACGTCCACTTTTATGAAGATGGACACACTAAATCACAACTGACAGCTCATTCATATCATCACCTCGAGGAGAGAAATGAGCTGTAAATTGACCATAAAGCCGCTATATACACGGTTTGTACACGGGGTTCAGCAGCCTTCTGCATTGAGGGCTTTTCAGTGACAGATGTGTGATGAATGTCTATTATGTGGGTAATACAGTGCGTGTGTGTGTGTGTGTGTGTGTGTGTGTGTGTGTGTGTGTGTGTGTGTTGGGGCTGGCAGGGGAAAGGGGAAGACCCACGGGAACATTGTAACACTGTGGGGTGATCTGCGTTCCCCCCCATAGGCTTAAGATAAACAATGTACAGCTGTGTTTTAAGGGGTTCACTGAGTTCAAAATGACACAGGGACGCAATGCAGGCTTATGTGTAGCCACACACACACACACACACACACACACACACACACACACACACACACACACACACGCACGGACACACGCACGGTTTTCGGCAAGATGAAGAGAGTTGCTGAAATGACACTGTGCCAGCTGTCAATAGGGTCCACACAGACACACACACACACTTGCACGCACGCACACGCACATCCCTCCAACCCACTTGACTGCATTAAAAAAGGAGGCTTCATCAAAGCTATTCATGTTGCCTCCATAAGTCATCATCTCATTTGAAAGACAAATGGGGCAGTTGGATTGGTCAGCACATTTCAATAAAGAGCCGAGCACCCAGGCAGCCTCCTCCTCTCCTACGAAGGCTTCCGCACAGCACAAACACATTTACTGAACCTTTCGCGAGCTAACATTTAAAACTCTACTTTAAAATCGTTATATAACAATAACCATACAGGTCCTGTCCATTTCTCCCTACACAAGTTCATCTTTTGCCATACAAAAACATAACAAAACAGCTACTGATGGATGTTGGGGATGAGGGATGAACTTTGGTGCCCAACTTCTTAGCCGATTTAAATTTTTAAAATGCTCAAAATACAAATTGGCACCCAATCTGCCGAGAAAAATTGTATCATATGACTGATAACTCTGGAACATAATGGTTATATTGCTTGTTTAGCTGCGGAACAAACCCCATGTTTTTGGTATTGTATGACTATAAAGCAACATATTATATAGAGAACAATACAAAATATACAAATGCTTATCTTTAATGCATGCGTGACCTGCATGTCCATTTTCTACTTATCTGGTCAATATGTTTGAAACAAGTGTATGTTTAATAATACAATTATATTTTCACAACATACTTGTTCATCCTTGAATTAATTCATGCACACGTAGCACAACGATAGGATGCACATCCTATGATAAAGCATAATTAAATCAACCCATTATCATTTGGTCCAAGCATTGGAAAGTCAATGACCTTAACATTCATTTGATAAGGTCGTGCAATCCTGACCCTTATAGAACAACTATTGTCACTGTAGATTGCAGCACTATTGATTTGCTGTGCTTTGAAAGCTATCTGATCTGAGATCCACAGACTGTGTGTAATAATTAAATGAACACCAATAGCTTGCTGATGGCAATGCACTTTCATCCTTCACATGTCTCCACGAGATATTTGCAAAGTATTTCTCAAGGACCAAAGTGTAATGAATGAACACATATTGGACACATATAGAAATCAATGGCCTGTCGGATCGTAATTTGGGCAAAGGGGGAGACAACCCCAAACACACAGCTAATGTTGATTTATTGTGCACATTGATTTACAAGGGTCAGTCTTCTTCAGAGGTGACATTGGATTTGTATACCTTTGTTTGTTTTTGTTTGTTTACAAAACAATCCCCTCAGTCCATTATTTGATCACTTCGAACCCATGGACCTTTATTTAAATTCAAGCAGATGTCCCCGAAGCCTCAAAAGATACCAGGCGGAATCTCCTGGGAATTAGTATACAAAGAAACAACTATTTAATATCCCGGTCTGATATGCGCCTGAATAAAAGCTCTTTCACAAACCATAGCCACAAATTTACTGTAGCTAATTATCGGCTGTATCTGTAATGCGCAAACATTTGACAGTTTATGTCACTTTTGCAGTGGATTCAGTCAGGGAAGACAGGGTAGGCAGGTGGGTGAGATCTGTCACGTGACTCCAAAATGGCGTTGATTGGGTTCACGTGTGCCCACCTGTCCGTTTGTTTACAATGATAAAGTCCCTTACACGTTAATACTGTCAACTTACTTAAGTCTAAATTAGTGTTGAAGATGCATTTCAACAAAGGCTTTTACTTCTTTGACCGGCAGCTGTGGTACATTTTCCAGGTAAGTAAGAAGTTAGTTGTTTTCAGATGCCCATGCAAGCAAACTTTATCGCCATTTGCCCTAAAGTAAGCTCGCGCGCAATGTAAACGCTGGCGTTTTTTTCGCCCCTTTATTTTTGTACATGTCGAAAAATATATAGCGTCTTGCTCCCTCCCCCCTGAAAAGACCGACGACCTTAACGTCAAACCGCATAGAATGACCTCCGTTCCCGTATTGTTTCTGGAAGCTCTACCAGCTTCCATCACGCTGCACACACCGTTGGTTCAGAGGCGGCGGCTCACTGTGTCACCTTTTCTGCCTCTGACGTCACGTTTCAGCCTCGTTTTGTGTATTTCTGTCGCATAAAAGGTGTTTACGGTGGTTTATTCTAAGTGTGTAAACGTTTTGCACTGCACCGAATCGTCGTCTCGTCCGGGCTTGTGTTCCTCGCTGGCTGTGAAGTTGATCTGGCCTGTAGGTGGGGCTCTGAGGCAGTGTTTCACAGCGAGGAACCCCTTCTGGAAGGGGGATTAGGATGCTGCAGCAGGGACACACTCGCCCTCCCCTCCGAAACCGCCCCGGAGCGCAGGCTGCTTCCCCTGAGGGATTCAGGATAAACGTTCAGGGGGCGCGTGAAACATTTTTTTTTTACAAAGTTGCAGTTGTTTTCTTTGTGTCTTTTGCTGCCCCCCCCCACCCCCCACCCATCATCCCCTCCTTTCTCCCAACCGCACAGCCCATCACCGACTCAAGTGCTTCACATTCATTTTTCAACATGAAAGGAATATTGCGCAATATTAGGTCGACCTTGATGGATTATTTTTTTAATGGTAGATCAGGAGAGCGCTATTTACTCCCTACTGGCTTACTTCGTTAAAAGAAAATATTACCTAATTAGGCCTGTTTGGAATATTAATTGCTTAAAATATGGCAGGGGTGGGGAATAGACCCCCCAAAGCATGTTAAAAGTTAATCAAAGCTAAATCCCTTACAACTGTGCAAGTGTCGTAATTGTGTTCCTCTGTTGCCCGATCTCCATCTTTAAATGATCCTGCGATTAGATATTCAAATCCTATGATCTGATCATCTCCACCCTGCATTGTAGCTCATTTGTGTAAATTCCCCCTTTTGGCATTGCCAAATCCCATTCTCAACGGGACGAATGCTCTGCACATTCTCCTTCACCAAAAGCACGCGCTCTTTTTGAGCTCCTATCTGTCATCTTCTTGTTTTCTTTTCGGTGAAACGCATCCACCAAAGGGGCGCAGCAATTTATCTTGAAAATCAACTTCTTTTAAAAGTGCTCCAGAGATCTAAAGTCATTGCGTCCCCGCCTTTTGGACGACATAGATAATACACGCGATTATGTTAACGCGGGATTTTATTGCCCAGTAATGCGCTCCGAGCCTATTTAGGTGTTTTGCCAAAGACCAAAAATTAAACCCAAACGCAGGATGTTGCAGCATCCTTCTCTCTCTCTCTCTCTCTCTCGCTCCCTCCCTCCGCCGCCCCCCCTCGTCGTCCCTCCCGCGCGCTCTATCCCCCTCTCTCCCACTCTCACTCCGCTGCAGCACCCTCGGCGGCTCAGTTGAGCAGGAGCACCGCACGGAGTCACATCTATGCACACACGCGCTCTCGACCCAACGCGCACACTCGCACGTGCACGCGCGAACACGCACAGCCTCCAGCGGGAAGCCCGCGCGGCCGCAGCAACCTTTTTGCAGCGGCGTACAGAGTGCGCCCTCGCCGGGAAATGGGAAGGCGCGGTTGGCCGGTCTCAGAGCGCTCTGAGCGGCGTAGCGAAGTGCTGCTGATCGGGGACGCGGGGCTGGAAGGTCTGCCGCTATGTCTTTCGACTGTGACAGAGATCGCCTTCTAAACTCACACCTCTCACTCGGGATTTAAAAGCGGACAAGCCGTTTGATCAAGGATATAAAATTATTCTAAGCGACAGCTCTTTGTATATTCTTTTTTTAAAGGGGTGGGTGGGGGTGAGAGTGAACGGAGTTTGGGGGGAACGCTCCTCTCTGGACGTGCCTCTTATCCGCAGTGTCGCTGCGGCTGCGGCTGTGAAGTGATATCTGCAAAGATTACAGGTAAGGAAATGAGCTTTTTCACGGAATTCGTTCCCACAGACAGACACGGGAGGGGGGGTGGTGGTGGTGGTGGTGGTGGGGGGGCAAAAGCTTCGGGGTTTTTGTGCGTGTGTGAAGGGTTGCCACTGCACCAGCCAGGTGACGGGAGGCGTGTTGCACCTGTTCTAGCTGCGCCATGCGCGCTCTGCCCGCTCTGCGCTCTCCGGCGCTCGGGCGGGTTTCCTGCCCAGCCTGCCCATTTGGATCGGAGGCTTAAAAAGAGCAGAATTGCGGAGCATTTTAATGACCTTCTATTTATCTTAACTTGGGACCCGTCATTGACATGCTGCTCTATATCATCCATGCCCTTCACTATAAGCCTGGGAGAGAGAGAGAGAGAGAGAGAGAGAGAGAGCGGGCTGCATACCCGGGTTGTGCTGGTTCTTCTTGCAGCGTAAACTGTGAAGGTTAAAGACAGAATAATGTGTCTGTGATTCCGCGTCGGATTTCCGTAGTGGCTTCGGGGATAAGCCCGGTGCGGGGGACCAGCCCCGAGTGGACTGCGAGGGTGATTTCAGATCGTGTCTCGGCTCTACATCGTGGAAAATGGGCAAAATGTACGCGGTGCTCCTCCCGGTCTTGTCAGGATGCGTGGCGAGTGTAATTTTGTGACCCGTTTAAAAAACATTGTGAGTTATAGAAGGAAAGTTAAGGAAAGAAAGTTCTTTAATACGCGCTTTAAGGCTTGTCCTGCATCACGTGGAGATCCACTTGGGATGACTCTTTGTAGACCGAAACTATTCAAGCATCGCACGCCTGTTTCAAACTCGTTCTTTATGACATCAGGGTTTGAAAACATGGAATATTTGGCCGTATATTTTCCTTTTTGATATACAGTGATCCCTCGCCACTTCGCGGTTCACTTATCGCGGATTCGCTATTTCGCGGATTTTCATATTGCATTTTTTTTTTTTTTGGTGCATTGTGCTCTGCATTCTGATTCGCTAAAAACTCACTCCCGAGCCGTTCATTACAGTTCTCCAACGTAATCGATGGTGGCATGTCGGTGTACAAGGATCTTTTTGCAAAGAAGAAAAAAGAGCGACAACAGCTGCCTATCACTATGTTCTTCTCCCGAACAAACACACCTGCACCGCGGGCTTCAGAAGAAGAGAACACTGCAGAGCGCAGTCAGGATGCAGCGGCCCAGTCTGAAGAGCAGTGAAACGGCCTACACGCGAGTCACTGTATTTGTATACATGTAATAGTTGCTAATTGTAAAAAAAAAAAAAGTTTTCTATTTCGCGGATTTCACTTATCGCGGGTCATTTTCGGAACGTAACCCCCGCGATAAACGAGGGATTACTGTATAGATAATGTCCATGCCAGTGTATGTCTATATAGGTATTTGTAGTGTTCACCATTATGAGAGTTGTGTCGACTATGTTTTGTGATAACGTACATTCCCTCCCTGTGGTTACTCACTGGGGTGAACTGGACCAATGTGGCCCACACGGAGAGGACATCACTTTAGAGACGCTCAAGTTACCAGAAAATGTTGCACTGTAATGTCTAACTCTCTGTGGTATGCGAGGCAAGCCACTGAAGTTAACAGGATTTTATCTTAAGTCGTGGAATTATATGACCTGTAATTATAGAATCCCTGTGGGTCATATCCTTCGTGTAATTTACTCCACAGTAGTAAAGAAATATTCAACACACCATGGGGACTTTTTAAAATGATTTTCTAGGTATTTGGATAAACATTCCCTGGGCTCGGCCTCCTCTTGTTCGGTCCGCACAGTTGTGTTGGGAGTCGTACCTCGCAGGGTGAGCCAGGAGACATCGATGAGGGATGATGATGGACGCTTGAGATAGTGTTCCCGTCAACACTGTCTTCAAACAGTTCATTTGTTGTGCAGACGTGACCTTACGTTCTGGTCAACGCACACAAGGCTGATCAACGCCTTTTTGGCACAGCGTGTCATTCTCTGGAATCTGTGTCATTTCTGCTTAAATGGGAGAGTTAGTTGGGACCTTGAGTTGATTTCTGTTTTTTTTTTGCTACTCACTTGATCAAGGAAAGAAAAAGTGCAGGCTCCTCAGCATGTGCCATAGTTTCACCCGTGAAGTGCGAATGCTCGATCCAAATGCCACTTATGGAGTCATCACTTTGTCTCTGTCCTGCACCAAAGACCCCCCGCCGCCTCCTGTCCCCCCCCCCCCCGACACCCTCCTTTCCTTTCCTCACCTCTCCTCCCCTCCTCCCACCCTCCATTGCACCTCATGTGCCGAAAACAGCTGCTCGAGCCTATGCAAAATGCAGATCCCCGGCACAGCGGTCACACCGGGTACTCTGAGCCCCTATGCCGGCTTCTTCCTCCCCTCCATCCACATCCAGATTCGATGCATCAATTGAGCATCAGCCCATCCGAGCGCTCCGTACTTTTAACTCTTAATGTTCACCATTGTGTTATCGATCCTGCAACGGATGTCTTTACATTTTCAACTGTGTGGTTTATTCTCCAAAGGATTACACGGTTGTGTTCGGTGCACGCTGAACAGAACGTGGCTGAAGGGACGAGGCTATGTCCTGGAAGAACCATAAGGGGCAGTGTGTCTTCACAGTCTGGTACAATGGATAGTTCCCATATAGCAAGGGTTCTCAGGCATTAATTCCGGTTATGTGTGTGCATTTGGGATAAAGAATACAAAAGCCATTACTGTTAACTAATAACATCGATAAAAATTTATTTTATTTTTGGTCCACTCTCGACACGGAACTGGAAACGAACTCTTAAAAAAACTCATTAGGTGCTGCTGAGTGATGTGTGGGTAATTCTTAGATGTTTAACTGTGTGTTGCTTGCAGTTGTGAAGTAAAAGGGAAATCGATACCTCACAGGGTGCTCATCTTCGTCAGCGTGACTTTGCCAGGCCGGCCAGCTCCACTGAATTTCACGGTGTTCCAATTTGTGCATTTGTTGCTGTGTGTGTGTGCGTGTGCGTGTGTGTGTGTGTGTGTTCTGCTGCTGTCAAGGTCTCCAGGGGAAGACATTTAGTCCCCGGGCAGTTTGATAACCCTATCTCATCCGTGTCTTGCCTCCTTGTCCTTTCACCAAATTCCAGCCTAGTTCTGAACTCTTACACGCTATAAGAACACTTGGCATTCCTCGGTCTCACTTCCAATCCTCTCTCCCTCCCTCTCTCTCTCTTTCTCCCTCTGTGCTGTCCATCAAGACCTTCCTGTAGGAAATAGAACAGCAGCCTTTATCGGCCTGTAAGCACCTCACGTTGACATACTACCTCTTGTCTGTTGGTCAATGTTACGGCTGCAAGGCTGGAACTTGGACCCGGAGAGCGGGGCCCTGTCAATATTATGGCTCGCTAATGGATAAACTCTCACTCCGACCTTGCCGGTAAAGGCATTTGTTAAATTTTGGGGGCGGCGGCACTTAAAAGAATAAGCTCCATAGAACATCTTTGCAATGTGTTCATGTCACTGGGGAGGGAGGGGGGGGGGCTCTGAATGAATATGAATTGGGAAGATACTCCATAGTCAAGACTCTGCAGATGTGTGTGTGTGTCAGAAAGAGTGTGAATGATGCATCTGTGATTGGCCTGGTGAGGCCCTGTATGAATACTTGGGTCTCAGATGTATCGTCATGTCAGACTGAATGATGCGTCTGTGGATTGGACCTGAATGGAGCTCTCTGTTTGTTCTCATTCTCTTTCTGCTGCTCGCTTTATCACTCTATGTCCCACCCCCCCTTTTTTCTTTTTTTTGTCTCTCACTACACACACATACACACACACACACACACACGCTTAAACCCCTCTGGGCTGTGACAGGACTACCAGACGCTGGCTAGTGCCCAATTAGACCCCCTCCTCTCCCGTGCCACCAAGCACCACCGAGAAGATGCAAATTGTGTTTCCGAGTCACCAACTGTTCTTCCCACCATAATCAGTCCCCCATTTTTCCGGATGGCTCTATGACAATGACTAATATGTATTTTCTGGCAGGTGCAACCCAACTGCATTTGGAGTGCGTTGGTGTCTGTTTTTGTTTAGGATGAGAGCTTATTAACTGGAGCTCCACTTTGTGTTGAATTCTGTTACTGTTATCTTTTGACCTTTACGTGCCCCGCCAGACCCCCGTCTTTGTTATCTTGTCTCTGAGGACTTGACCTTAGGGCAGACTTCAAACTTGCTGTACAATGTGAGGTTCAAAGTCGATTTATATTTTTAATTGACATTTCAGTCCTACCGACTGACCGACTGCAAGATGGTTTTGCATTAAATTCCATTTTGGGGGGGAAGGATTCTCTGCTACATTAAGAGAGTAATTGCTTACAAGTACGTAATTAACCCTTTGGTAATGCACCACGGTGCTGCATATTGATGTTTGCTGCGGCAATGACAGCAGAGAGTGAGGATCTCCAAACAACAATAGGCGTTGTGATTTCTATGGGCAGAAATCAATACTCGTCTCAGCATCCAATTTAATGAGCACCTTTCTTCTCCTCTGAATAGTTTACTCTGCGTATGCGTGACGTCTCCGTCCACACACATTTTGCCCCGCTGCCATTCAGAACACCTTGCTTTTTTTTTTTTTTTTTTTCGGCCCGGCAGCCTCACTCCCATTAAGCCATCACGTGCCTTTTAAAAAAAATATATAATGCGGTTCGATACTTGGTACATTGTTCTATATCGCAATCGCGCCGCTTTTCTTTTCTCCCTCCAGCCCTCTCGTATGCTTCCTTTCATCTTTTTTTTTTTTTTTTTTTTCTCAGTCCTCTTTCTCTTTCACTGACTTTCTGCCCCGGGCTCTCCGGCTCCATGTCTTTCTGCCTTTCTGTAAGCTGACAAGCACATAACTTTATATATGTGTGTGTGTGTGTGTGTGTGTGTGTGTGGGGGGGGGGGTTGGGCCAAAGAAAAAAAGGTAAAAAATAATCCTGACCATTGAGATGACCTATGATGCAGGACACGAATGGAGAAGGCGACATGGGCCGTTGA